CTCACTCACGCTCGCTCACTCACGCTCGCTCACGCACGCTCGCTCACGCACGCTCACTCACGCACGCTCACGCACGCACGCTCACGCACGCTCACGCACGCTCACTCACACGCTCACTCACGCACGCACGCACGCTCGCTCACGCACACGCTCGCTCGCTCACGCTCACGCGCACGCTCGCTCACTCATGCGCACGCTCGCTCACTCACGCTCACGCTCGCTCACTCACGCTCACGCGCACGCTCACTCACGCGCACGCTCGCTCACGCACGCTCACGCACGCTCACGCACGCTCACTCACTCACGCTCGCTCACTCACGCTCGCTCACTCACTCACGCTCACGCGCACGCTCGCTCACTCACGCGCACGCACGCTCACACGCACGCTCGCTCACGCACGCTCACGCGCATGCACGCTCACGCTCACTCACTCAAGCTCACTCACTCAAGCTCACGCTCACTCACCCTCACTCACTCACGCACGCACGCACGCTCACTCACGCACGCTCACTCACTCGCGCTAACACGCGCGCTCACACGCACGCGCTCACACGCACGCGCTCACACGCACGCGCTCACACACGCTCTCTTGCTCACACACACACACACACGCTCACAGAGAGAGACACACACTCACCGGAGGGTCTGCGCAGGTGTGCGTGCGGCTGCCACTGGTCTGAGGTAGGTGAGGGTGGAGGTGAGCAGGGCGAGGCTGGAGGGCAGTGGAGGTGCGTCAGCGTCGGAGGAGATCCCTGGCAATGCCGCGTGGCGCTCAAGAGGTCGTTGAGGATCTGCAGGATGGTGCTGACGTCCCGGCGAGGACGCACGCTGCTGTCCTGACAGTTAGGGTGTAAAGTACCTGAGGGGTGAAGAGGTCGCGATGAGGTCGACATGAGCCGCTTGTTCTGACTGCTGTAATTCTCACGATGAAGCGATGCGTTACCTGAGAAGGTTCCTGAGAAAACTCCCGGCGCGTGGTTGACGAGGCTCTCGATGACGGCGCCGGGTTTGCATCGCTGTCTGGGGCTCTGAGTGCTGCCTTCAGCCTGAAACACACACACACACACACACACACACACACACACACCAGAACAGTTCAGACACACCAGCGTTAGTGATCACTGCGTTTTCTGATCAGTCACTGCAACAATCTCCAGTGTTAGTTTAGCATCACTGAGATACTATTATAGCAGCTTGTTAATATTTTAAAATAGATTTTACATTTATTGTTTTCGCTTTCATTTGTTGTGTTTGTCTTTTTTAAATTTTTTTTTAATGTCTATAATTTTTTTTTGGTTCATTTAGTTTTAGTTATATTAGCACTTAAGTGTTATTTTAGTACCATTGAGCTACTATTATAGTTTTTATATTTATATTTTCTTTTTTTTTTTTTTTTTTTTTTTTTTTTTAAGGTTTTTTATTTTTATTTTAAATTTTTTTTTTTTTTTTTTAAATGCTATACAGTATATATGCTCTCTCTCTCTCTCTCTCTCTCTCTCGAGGACGCACGCTGCTGTCCTGACAGTTAGGGTGTAAAGTACCTGAGGGGTGAAGAGGTCGCGATGAGGTCGACATGAGCCGCTTGTTCTGACTGCTGTAATTCTCACGATGAAGCGATGCGTTACCTGAGAAGGTTCCTGAGAAAACTCCCGGCGCGTGGTTGACGAGGCTCTCGATGACGGCGCCGGGTTTGCATCGCTGTCTGGGGCTCTGAGTGCTGCCTTCAGCCTGAAACACACACACACACACACACACACACACACACACACACACACACACACACACACACACACACACACACACACACACACACACACACACACACACACACACACACACACACCAGAACAGTTCAGACACACCAGCGTTAGTGATCACTGCGTTTTCTGATCAGTCACTGCAACAATCTCCAGTGTTAGTTTAGCATCACTGAGATACTATTATAGCAGCTTGTTAATATTTTAAAATAGATTTTACATTTATTGTTTTCGCTTTCATTTGTTGTGTTTGTCTTTTTTAAATTTTTTTTTAATGTCTATAATTTTTTTTTGGTTCATTTAGTTTTAGTTATATTAGCACTTAAGTGTTATTTTAGTACCATTGAGCTACTATTATAGTTTTTATATTTATATTTTCTTTTTTTTTTTTTTTTTTTCTTTTTTTTAAGGTTTATTAATTTCATTGTAAATTTTTGTTATTTTTAGTAGTTTAAAAAAAAACGTCCCTCCCCCCCCAATTATTATTTTTGGTTTAGTTTTAGTTATTTTAGTACATCAAGTTAACTTAATTAAAATGATAAATGTTGCCTTGGCAACTAGCTGAAATAAAATATAATAAAAACTTATTTAAGCAAACATTTTGTAATGGTTTTAATTTTAGTTTCAGTTTTAGTTAACTATGATAACCCTGAAACTAAATGAATATGAGAAATATTGAAATAAAATAAGTTTGTTTTTTAATGTATTTTATTCAAGTTAACATTTATTTTATTTCAAGTAAAGAGAAACTTTATGGTTTTAGTTTTAGGTAATCATAATAACCTTGCAACGGTCTCTGTAACACTGGAGCTGCTCAAAAGTAAAGCACTTTCATTCATCTCAAGAGTTTTATAGCACAAATGTGAAGCTGGTATATTTGTTTTGCTTGTTTTTACTCATTAATAAGCAATTATTTGAGCTGTAAAGTGTCTAAACGCTCCTTTCTGCAGTGACTCTGCTTTTCAGGACAGATGAACTTATAATTATCCATAACTCCAGTGTTTTTGAGATGTTAGAGCTTGTTGAATTCAGCACAAATACTGCAAAATGAACAGCATTTACTGGCTTTACACTGCATATCAGACGAGATCTACTTCTGTTTCTGGATGAACTTCAACCCGTATCATCTTGAAGGCTTGTTTCTGTACTGGTGAGGTGGTGCATTTGAGCATTTATTATCTACTCCATTGTAATGCACTACTGTCGCCTATTAAAGGCCACTATTTTTGCATTAGGGTTTAATAAAACATGAATCAGTTCTATGCTCATGTCTCACCTGAGTGCAGGGCGGAGCATGGGCGGGGCTTTGAGGATGGTGGGCGTGGCTAACAGGGTGTGAGTGAAGAGCAGGGGCGGGGCTTTGAGTACTGTGGGCATGGTGAACATGAGATGAGGGCGGGGCATTGTGGCTCTTCATGACGTCTAGTGCCCGCTGCTGAGAGTCTGAGGGGTTTTCACTGCTGACGGCCCCTGTAGGCGTCTGGTTGGGGCCCGCATGTCCCCTGGAGACGGATGGCTGAGCCGCCAACTGGAGCTGCACAAACATCATGTGATCGCCCACACGCAGGGCAAGGGTCAGCGGGGACCGTCCCGACAGGAAGTCACTGACCTGGACACAAAACGAGATGATTGACAGACGTTAATGAGACTTGCATGTTTCATTCAGTAGCACATCATCTTCTGACTCCAATCAAATGGGTATCGCCATCAAAAATGATTCTTTCTTGCGATTTCTGTCTTGTTTTAGAACACAAATATCTAGAAGTCTCGTTTTCTGAGAAATTGAATAAAATGAGTTTATGCTTAAAACAAGAACAAATATCTGCTAATGGGGTCAGAAAAATAAAATGACTTCAAAGATAAAACAAGATTATTTTTCTGACCCCACTGGCAGGTATTTCTTTGTGTTTTAAGCAAATACTCACTTAATTTTGATACTTTTTTTTTTCTTTCAGAAAAATACTTAATATCTTAAGTCATTCTGCATCTCCAGTAAATGTGTCTTGATTTAAGGATGTTTAGATATTTGTGCTGGAAAACAAGACAGAAATACTGAGGAAGAATATTATTTGTCTTATGCAGTGTAAAATTCTTATAAAATATCTGATTCGGGAAATAAGGGAAAATACACATTAAATATAAACCTAAAATCGCCAGTAGGTGGCGGCAAACCACTGCATGAGTAAGTAATTGAATCATTTACTCAACCGATTCGTTCAAACAGCGGATTGATTCAGTAATAAAACACCCTCGTGTCGCTCAGAGATGCAAAACTGTTCTGCTGTGGCTTTGATTGGAACTATTTCCGTTGTCGAAATAGAGCCAAAACAGGAACTTGTGTCTAAAATGTCAATTAATATTAACTTATTGATTTTATAAAACAGTCCAATAAACAAGATCACATTTGCAATCGTGCTGATATAAAAAAAAAAAAAAAACTATTCTTTGTGTGATATTAACTATTTCAGATGATATAAATATAAAAGGCACATAAAAGTCATATGGCGGCATATTTGCCCCTTTATCATGAATTTTGTAGGAATTCTAAATGTATTTCAATAGAATAAATCACGCAGTGAAAGCGTGAACTCTAAACGTGCTCGCGCAGTATCTCACAGTGTATGCGTGCACTCTCTGGGTGTGTTTTTGTGATATACTCTTAACGTCAAATCGCATATCGTTTAATCAACAATTACGATGTTATCATAGACGATATACATCACACCCCCCCAATCCCAACTGAAACTGCGATGGAAAGCCTGTTTCTCTTTTGTCTGTGAAACTGTGAATGCACACAATTAAAATAAAAACAGTTACAATAGTGCAAAGCACTGATGCAATACTGTAAGAAGATTAAGGCTGGTGATACAATGTTGCCGTCAACGGGCAGCCAGGTGAGACTCAGGGCCCACGACTGATCTAAAGTATCTAAAGTATCCAGATAGACATTTGTTACCCTTTCTCAATGGGAAAGTGCCCAAGCAACATTGTGTCTCATCATCCCAAGAGTGACTGATCGTATCAGTCGAGCGCTAACAAACCAGATAAACCAACATCCCCAGAGGCTGATTCAGATAGCAGCAGTGCTGAGGTTTCACATGCGTCGCCCAAACCACACGAGCAGCAGGCCGAGCGTCTGATGTAGTTTTAAAGGCCGTGGAGAATCCGCTGGCCGTCAGAGGAGCCCGACGCTCTCCGAGATCCATGAGTAATGCTGAGGTCACACTCCTTCATGAGGCAGATGCAGAGAGCACATGAATCTACTCACGCTAATTAACGCTCGTGACGTATAGCGAGTGATCTGAGAGCTGAAGAGCGCTTGGCTCAGATGTAAAGGTCACGTGTTGGTGTGCTGGGCTCAGGAACTGAAGAGGGCATGCGACGCTTCAGCCTCTGATCTCAGTCAGTGGAGCAGTCTGGGAAACTTCATTCTCAGAAATTGTGGGCTGGTACTTTGTAAGGCAGTGCAACGCAACTGATGCGTCATGACAAACTCTTCTGCTCATCAAGGCTGCATTTATTTGATCAAAAATACAGAACAAAAAA